GGACACATACAAGACATATAAAGAAGGACAGATTAGGAACAAGCTAAGGTTTGAAATGAGGTACAATTGGTGAGGAATGGAACAAAACAAAACAAAATATAGAAAACGTTTCCTTAGGAATATTCAAAGGAAAGGAAAGAGAGAAGAATCATTATACTAATTGCTCTATAAATACAGCAAAATGTAACAGTGAAAAAGTAGAGCTACTCATTTGTTATTTGCCTCAGTTTCATTTAGCTAGAGGGCATATATTCATTAGACAACTGTGAAGAACAGAGGTACAACTGGTTCTTGAGACTGAGAGTAAAATAGTCAGGAAATATTTTTTTATAATTGTCAGGGAATTTAAAACTTCAGGATGAGATGAATTGCTTTTTCTAGGGCAATAAAGGAATTTGCTGGTCATCTGGCTGAGCTTTATTTGTTATCCATGAAGAATCCTAGTAAAATAAAAATCTGAAGTTTGGCAAAAGAGAAAAAGATCAATGGAATTAACATACCAATCAAACTGATACTGATACATACATATTCTAAAATTATCAAATTAACAATAGGTGGCAAATAGGCAGTACCTTGAAACAATGTGGTTATTATGGGACAGTACCATGAATTTGTCAGGAAGAAGTCTTGCTAGACTCTCTGATGCTGTCTCTCTGTCCCTGTCTTTTTGTTTCTCTTTCTACTGATTCATTTTATTATAGACTAGGGGAATGGCATGATGTATCTTTATTTTAGCAAAGTATTGGACAAAGTACCTCATGGTTAGCCAACTCGATAAGAATGGATTAGGCAGAATACACTAAGATAGATTCTTCACCCAATGATGAAGCAGAAGCCTGAGTATATACAAGAGAAAGTCAAGAGTACACTACAGTAAATCCATCCTATTCCTTTTTTCTCTTTCACCTCTTAAACCCAGAAAGGAAAGAGATGGAGAGAAAGCAAGCAAGAAAGATAGAGGGCAAAAGTCTCTGGGAGATCTAGGAGGTAACTTGACATAGGGTGAATACTGGGATTGTGTTTTGTAAATACTTCTTGAAAATAGCTGCATTGTAAATAGGGGAAAAGCATAAAAGCCTCTACTGTCTTGTTTTTTATACCACTTGCCACCATTGCAAAGCAAAATACACCTCCAATTCAAAAAGAACCCCATTAAACTATGTCAGGGAGATACCACAAAAGATAATCTGTGCAAGGCATCATATCAGGAGTTGGCAATAAATCATAACTGTCTCAATATTTCACCTTTATTCTGTTCTTGACAGAAGATTCTTAGACAGGACTTAACTAGATTAAGATATTTATTGCAATCAAGAATGAAGTTGATGACTCATTGCAAAGCAGCGTTCACAGGACTTATATGTCTATGCTCTAAAGTTTAAACTTTTGACTTTTTTGTCCCATCTTTCTGAGTTAAGCAATACTTGGTGGTTTACTTGATAGTTATGGTGGCTTTCTACCATATATAATAATCATCTCTATCTTGGGAATACCTGGTTCATTCCATGCCCAGATTTGGCCCTTATAACTTAAAGATTTATACTCTTCAACATTTGTATAAATGTTGTGGAATAAGGAAATTGGTACATAATACAAAATTGGGTGGGATAGCAGAAATAAATAGATAAGCAGAAATAAAATTCAAAGTGTTCTTGAAATTTCTGTCCAGGAAATAGAAATTAAAGTACTGGATGGTGAGGGGGGGATACCTTGTTTAGTAATAGACTTGTGAAATAGTTCTTGATAGCAAATTGATTTTGAGTCAACAATGTGATGTGGCAAATCTACAATTTTAGGCTGATGCAATATCACAGGAAGTATTAGATCAATTCTATTGTACATTGCACAACTATAGGCTTCATGCTTTAAGAGTTACTAGACAAACAAGAAAAGGTTCTTATAATGGTAACAAGAATGATAGTGAGGAAGAGAGATTGAAAGAACCAGGCATGTTTACTTTTGACAAGATGAGACTGAGGGAAATAGAATATGTTTTGTGCAAATTTACTGGAACTGAACCTTCTTGTGTTCCCTGGAGCATTCCTTTATTCTTACAGAATGTGCCAATTAGGCTTTTAGATAAGATAAGATAAGATAAGATAAGATAAGATAAGATAAGATAAGATAAAATAACCTTTATTGTCATTTTTATACTGTGGGCACAATGGCACACATCAAAAATGAAATTTAGTTGCCCGCTCTCAAATAAAACACATACATGACACATACCTAAACATACTATGAACAACATATGTATAGACCCATATCTCTACATATACATAGCAAATAAATATTAAATATTGTCCACAGAAGTATTTCAGTGGTTTTCAGGAAGCAAATCTTCCAGAATAGGATGCAGTTCAAGAATATCCTTAGATAGCATAGTATTTCCTCATTATGTATCTGAAAAACATTGTGTGCATAAGAAAATCAAGATCTATTCTTGCTCAGTAATAAGCTGAAGACACAACATAATTAACTGAAGTTACAGGAAGGCAGACTTTGCTCCCACCCCTCTCTCTATGTACATAGATGTGTGCAAAACAGAAATAATAATTTGATGGGGAACCTACTATCCAGAGAGCTAGTTAGCTGCATGAAAGTAAAAGCTAGATGGTTATATAATGGAGCTGCTTTGATTTAAATTAGAGCCAAGTTTGAATTGGAATCAAACTCTCATCAAGGCCTTACTTTCAGGTGCCTAAATGGTTCTATACAAATAAATAACATGCACACACTGATATTGAATTGTCTTGCTTATTTCAAATAACTGGTTTATCATTTTGAATATTTGTTCTTCTGTAACTATTTTCAGTCATAATGATCTTGTCAGACATTTTCTTATTTATAATAGTAAGTGTTCGTAACAGTGCTTTTTTGTAAAAAAAAAAAAAAGGTGCCAGAACTCACATGTCATACAACCCGCCTTGCCTACCCTACAAGGTTCCATCCAAAAAAGGTGCCGGAATTCCATTCTGGGCATTCTATGACAAAAAAAGCCCTGGCTGGTAAGTTCTTTTTAAATGAATAATCAACATGAACAATGTGCAGATGACACAATTATCCAATGCCTTGGAATGACATTAATTTTTAAGCTTCTCTAATGTTATACAGATATAAAGAGCAACATTGTATTAAGTAAAATATGGCTGATGCTCATTTTATTACACACAACAGTTGAAGACAGGTTATTGCAGATGAATGATAGAAGAAACCCAAATATTTTTGAAGGCTGTTTGGTTATGAGTCCTTCCTGTAATGCCAATTTTTTCTCTTCTGCAAAACAGTCCTATATCACTGTCATTATGGCTGACTTTGAAACATTAATAGGTCCTCATCACCATACTTCCTCATTCAGCAATGACAAAAATGCAAGAGAGCATCCAGTTTTTTATATTCCCCAAAGCTGACACTTTGAGGAATATAAGCAAAGCATCCCTTTGAAACTGAAGCAGACACATCTTTTTACTTTGTTTCATTCTGAGACCTCATCCAGCAGTTCCCATACTTGACAGGGTTTCTGTATATATACAGCAGGAGTCCACACACACCCTGTCCACAGCCTGGTTGGGAATCAGGCTACAGATGTGGTGGGAGAGTATGCATTCACACAAAGCTACACTTGTGAAAATGGCATGTGCATGCGCATGAAACCATACCCTCTATTTTTTTCCCAGATTGACCTCTAATTTCAGAATGCCTAAAACTGAATCAAGCCACCCTTGAATATTGAATAGCAAAATAGAATCATTCATTTTTCTTGTGTAGAAAACTTTGGTCAAATCAATAGAGGATATTTCACAAGGTCTATAATATATAGATTTCATTTTTTTTTCTTTATGGAAGAAGGCTATACTATGTGTTCTGGTATGTCTATTCAGCAGTGGATAACCTTTTACTGACCAATGTAAGATAATAATGCAACAGTAGGTTAGAATGCCATGCATAAGAATACCTAGAATTTTTCATTTTCTTCACTTTTAGTTTCTGATAGCAAGCCTTTGTTTTGCTTTAAAACTGTGTTGAGTTTACCATATATTTTGTGCAGTTATTGTATAGCAGTTATTTTCAGCCATCAAAACTTGACAGTGAGCAGTCAGATAGGATTCTCAGCTCCAGAAAGAGATTCAAGATCATATATGGCTCTGGAGCCTTAACTTGCTTACCCCTAGTTGGTTGGTTTAAAATAGCAAAAATGGGTAGGCTTGCTCTACTTAGCAATCTTCAGGAATACAGACAGGAAAATCTCAGTCTGTGTTCCTAGATAGGGGGCAAAGAAGAAGGTTTAGTAAAATCTTCACTCAACAGACTCTTATTAGGGTGAATTAAAGAAGACATAATGGTTCCCATAAATATATATACCATATTTTCCAGCGTATAAGACGACTTTCTAAAGTGCGGAAATCGGCGCCGAATTCGGGGGTCATCTTATACGCCAAGTCGTCTTATACACCAGAAATTACAGTAGTTTCCAGCGTATAAGACAACTTTCTAGGCATGGAACTCGGCGCTGAAGTCGGGGATCGTCTTATACGCCGGGTCACCTTATACGCCGCAAAATACGTATATATTCATGGTTGCAAATGAATAAGATAGCGCTCAAAGAAATATAACTTGACTGTGAAATCAGATTTCTGAGATTGGGCATTTAGGCCAAGCCCTACTTAGAAATTATTGTTTTCCAAGTGATGTCATCTGGAGCATCCTGTCCTTGTATGGTTAGTGGTATAATAATAAAAGACAGTTCAGAAATTGGTCCATGGAGTCTCATGGAAGAAAATAGAAAACTGGAGATTGAATTGTTTAGGCTAGGACATGTTTAATCCTGTATCAGATTATTCACATACTTATCATTGTGACGGCTCTGGCTATTTTATAAAAATATATATATTCGCTTAGATATAGTGTTGTGTACATAAATAAGCCTGCTTAGATCTGAGGTTTATTCATGTTAACTCCTAGTTTATGCTTCTCTTCCTTTTCTTTTTGTTTCTCTAAAGGGCTAATTTGCAAGTGTCTCAAAAAGACAGTCCTTTTTTCTCCCTTCTACCATATCACATGATCCAGCTTCGAATTCAAAGCTCCAAACATCTATTGTTTCATCATATTTGTTTTACAATAGAGGGAATCATTTCTATTTTGCATTTGACATTGCAAATGAAACTGAAGAGGAATGACAAGAAGAAGGACTGCATACAAACAAGAAGCAGCAGCCACACAAAATTCAATACCACCAGGAAAAGATAAATAGTCAAAGAAAGAATTGTTTTTTAAATATTCATCTTCCAGGCACCAGCTACTGATCTGTATAGGATTTCTTTTTTCAAACATGACCTTTGTGGCGTGGTGCCCAGATATTTGCAGGCCTGCTTACTCCATCTAATATAGATATCAGTCCAACTGATTAGATCTAACAGGACAAAATTGTTATTGACTTCACCTTTTCAAGAGATTTGTGAGGCTGAAGCCATAACTTGAAGCTTTTCAATGGCAGTGCCAATGCTTGGAACAACCTCCCAGAAGAGATTAAGTTAGTTTACTTATCAAGCCTTCTTCACTGATGTTTGGGAAGTTTCCAAAGACGGATCTTCTCCAAAGAGCCTTCCTTGATTATTATCATGCCAATTTCAACTTCCATTTTTGCTGCTTGTATTTTTGTACTTTGTGCAGGTTTTTTTATTCTTATGGAATTCATACAGTGGCCACTTTACTTGGTTTTATATATTATAGAAGCTGCTGAGAGTCTTTTTTATGATGGTGGGACAGAAGTGTGGAAAATCAATCAATGCATCTCATATAATGCACTGACAGGATAGTGGCACTAAAAATTGGCCCATCCTTCTGTAAAAAAGTTCTTCATCAATGGCAGTACTCTCTCTCTCTCTCTCTCTCTCACACACACACACACACACACAAGTTTATCTAGAGTTATCCTGAGGTAAAATGGGTGGCCAGTAAATCTTCTATATCTATCTGTCTGTCTATCTGTCTGTCTGTCTGTCTGTCTGTCTGTCTGTCTGTCTGTCTGTTTGTCTGTTTGTCCGTCTGTCCATCCGTCCGTCCGTCCGTCCGTCCACCCGCCCACCCGCCCACCCACCCACCCACCCACCCATCTATCTATCTATCTATCTATCTATCTATCTATCTATCTATCTATCTATCTATCATTTATTTATCTATCATCTATCTACTATCTCTCTTCCTATCCTATTAGATACTGTTCTACTATGGATATAATAATACCTTTTTGAAGAAAATAATTTCAAAAATGCAAGAAAAAAACCTTCAGGAGGAAACATATTTCAACTACTGTACATGTATATAAATATTTCTGACAGTTCAAGACATCTTACTATTTAGTTTAGTATATTTACAATTATACATTATTAGTATGTAATTAATGTAATTAATTAGAATTGTATGTATGTTAGATAAGCAGATAAGATTCTAATCATCTTAAAACTTTGGAACAAATTTGAAAAGTCACCAAGTGAGTTTAGCTTCAATTCTTAAAAAACATAAAAAAATTATAAGCTTAAGAACTTAAAGAATTTGAAATAAACAGAAAAAAGCTAAATATGATTTTGATCTAAGAGTTATAAATGGATTAGGGAACTATTTAAATTTAAAATATTAACTTTTACTATAAAATATAGTATAAAAAATAAATAGCTTCTCATGGGAACCAAACTTATTTTGACTATTTTACGTTTATAATGTAGATAAGTATCTTTATGATTTTAGAAACTGGACACTATAGAGAACTAAAGATTCTAAGTAGAAGGGGAAAAAATACTTGTCTGTACAAAATGACACAAAATGTCATAACACTGGAAATATTAAGAAGATCTTTCAAGAATGGAGCCAGAAATTAATAGCTACAATATCAATAGTGTCAGTAATGATGTTTCATTCAATGGATAGACAATGTCCAAAAGATGTTAATGAGGGAATGAGAAGATGTGGAGCAAATTTTGTCTGACAAAACAGAGAAGTACTGAAAATGGACATGCAAATGACAGGTCAAGAGAATGATTTGAAAGAGGATACCTTATTGGATATATAAAAGAAACTGGCTGATGTTTTAAAAATTAAAAGGGAAATACAATAGATAAATGAAGAGAATGACCCGAAAAATGTTTTCTTATTGAGTCTACAAAAGAAGCTTGTTAAATACTTGAAGAAGACTGGGGACTGTATACCCCAGCCCTGCAAAAGACCAATTTGTCCTAACTTATGTCATCCTACTCCCAGTTAAAGGGCTGCAGCTATCTCTCCCAATTGGCCAAACTAGTTCCTATGTCTTGTTCTGACTGAACATTCGATAATACTTCTTTCCATTGTTCAGCTACTGTGGCTCTGCACATATATATCCATCACACCACGTTCCTAAATCCCCACCTGCCCTCACAGCTTCACCAGGTAGACCAAACCAAGAAATCCTCTCACAAGAAGGCCAAATCTAGTAACAGAATATTGCAAATTTGGTGTATTCTACTCCATACTACCTCTTATACTTATGGATTAGGCAAATTACTGTCTGAGCTGTTTTGCATACCTTCTCCATGTTTGGGCCTTAAGCCATATATTCCCATTGTCAATTTGGTAACAGGTCTGGAACATTTCTGTCAAGTTCATCTTCCTTGCTATCTATACCTCAGAATCCTCACCATTGACCAGGGCATTCTAGAAAGTCTCCACAGCCCCTTCTTTATTTCTCATCTGGAGAAGCCTAAGTAATCTTTTCAGTCCACCAACATGATCTAACACCATCCAAACACAAACTGAAAGTCCTCTTCCTTTTAGTTCTAAGTTCTTTGACTGCTGCACAAAGTAGTCCTCAGACATGTGTCATCAAAATACCACACAGATGGCTAGCATTCTTCTCTCACAGAGTCCTGCTGCCTCATGCAAGATATAGAGCTCATGTCTGATACTTGGCACTCAAAAACACTGAGTTTGGGTCTCACTGAATCATCAGCTCCATTGTTGTTCAGCAGAAGATCACAGCCCAAGGGATATGTTGTAGTTGAATTTGTTGATGCCATCAGATCAACAATTTCATCTAGTTCCACAGTTGCTGCTTGGCTACTAAACTCCACCCGCTGATCAACAGGATCCTTAGCTATGATAGGATGTCTCTGCCACCACTGAAAATCTGATCGACCTGTTATTCCTGCTACTGTCCAAGCACCAGTTCTTGCATTGACCTGGTTTACTTACACAGTCTCTTGTAGTTCCTTTTCAATCATTGATCAATCTGGAATCACTTTCTACCCAGGCTATTCAGAAAGCCCTAGGTATATTGGTCTGGTATCCACCACAAGGTCTCTTCCACACAATCAATGATAAAAACAACATCCAAAAACTCCTCTGCCCTTTTTCTCAGCCCATGTCAGGTCCTTCTCAAACAAAGTTTCAAGACAAATTCTTGTGATCAGTCAACAACACATATTCCATTCCAATGCTTTACATTCATATACATATTATTCTATTGTCTTTTGTCTCATCATGGTGACCAAATAGCATGGCAATAAACAAGGACCAAAAGACAGCAGTGATGATAGAAATAGCAGTGCAAATGACAGCAACATCAGGAAAAAGTATGACAAGCAGAAGTACCAAGGCCAGAAGGAAGAACTAGAAAGGATGTGGAAAATAAAAGCAAAAGTAGTCTCAGTGGCAGTAGGAGCACTTGGAACTGTGACACCTAAGCTGGGAGAGTGGCTTCAACAGATCCTAGGAATGACATCAGAGCTCTGTGTCCAGAAAAGTGTAAAGAAACAGCTGAGAAATTGCACGAGGCTCTCAAATTCTCTGAGACTCTATATCTATCTGTCTGTCTGTCTGCCTGCCTGCCTGCCTGCCTGCCTGCCTGCCTGCCTGCCTGCCTGCCTGCCTATCTATCTATCTATCTATCTATCTATCTATCTATCTATCTATCTATCTATCTATCTATCTATCTATCTATCTATCTATCTATCATCTATCATCTCATTCTGTTTGAAATATTTCACTTGTTAAAGTAATTCCATTACTTAAAATTCCTTTCAATGCCAAATATTCCTTTCATTCCCAAACAGTAAGGGAAATTGTCAGGTTTGTGATATACTGTCAGAACTGTTAGCATTAATAATTGTGTGTTAAATTATTCTTGTGATGTACAGAATATGCATCTTACTATTGTGTACCAGAAATAAATGTGTGATTTGAGAAAATGAGAAATTCATACATAAACGCTACTTTAAAAATCATGGAGAAGCTAAAACAAAATAAGAATTTCATTCACTAGGTCTGCTTTATCTTTAGCATCTTTTTTTTTTAAAGAAAAGAGATGGGAGTATGGATATTTAACTTAAAAGATTTAACTTACACAATGAAGAATAAATCCAATGAGCTTTAAAGGATTTACCCCTGAATAAATACATTTAGAGAGCAATTACAGAACAATCCTAAGATATTGAAGGATAATTTTTCTATTAACACACCGTTTCTTTTGCTGTGCTTGCTCAACAAAATAAAAAAAATATGTGGAAATAAGTGTGGGTATAGATGTGGGTGTAAAGGTTGCATGAAGATGTGCAGAAAGCAATGCTCTTTGTGGGAAGCCAATGCTGATATTATTGGAGAAATAATAAAGTTTTATTTAGAATGGCTGCTTTCATCTGAGTACAGAACAGAGGTTTTAAATACAGTATGTGACGGTTAGAGGAACCAATCATTTACGATTATAGTTGACTTATCACTCAGGATTTGAACATTGAAGCAAATTCTATCACATTAGATTAGCAGAGAATCTTAATAATAATATTCAGCCAATGAATAATCACGAACATGGACATGTAACTGTCAGCCTTATAGGGTAGACCAGACTAAGAAACCAATGTAGTATAAGTCTAAAACTAAATTTGTCTGATTGTTGCCTTGTTAATGAATCTTCCCATGGTTCTTCAAAGCCATTCCTTATGTTCTTTATAAGATTCTCAGTCTTGGCAACATTAAGATGTATGGATCTCATCTCTTAGAATTCCCCAGCCGGCATATGGGGATCTTGAAGTCCACATGCCTGAAAGTAACCAAAGTTGAGAAACACTATCCATGTGATGGAATGATATCTGGATTTCCAGGAGGAAGGGAGTACATTCGAAAGGAGCAAGAGACACACAATGTGCATAGGGGGAAAAGCAGTTGTGTTCTTGATTTCTCCAATGTGGGGTTTCAAGGGCTTTCCCAGGAGGATCTCTGTCTAACTGGCTGCTGCCTAAGTTGACATCATGTTATGTGGAAATGACTCTACAGGAAGTAGATCTGCAGATTGAATAATGAGCATGTAAGAGGTATCTCAGTCCACAGAAAGAGAAGAGGCATGAGAAGCATTTCACAGGGGACTCTCCCTCTAGTTACTCTCCCTCTAGTTTTCTTGAGAGTAAAAGGAAAGGAGAGGGGAAATACTTTCAGTCTTACAAGATTCTGTTAATAGAAAAGATAGAGCTAGTACTCCTGCTTGTGTTTCTTGTGTTAACTACCTTGAAGGGCTAATAGTGGTAGTTGCAGGCCTTTTTCAGATCACGATGCCTTTGCCACAGTGGCTCTTAGACTAGGCAAAGGCAATAATGCATAAGGTATGTTGACAGAGTTTTATTAAGAGAATTCTTTAATCATTGTCAAAACCCATTTTTGTGCAAAACAAAGACTCTGCATATAAATGTCCCCAGGTAGACATCCTAAGAAGAAAATTAACTATCTAATA